AGCTCAGGCACCCTAGGCAGCCGGAATAAGGTCCTTGGAAAAAAAAAGGAAAGTCAACGGGAGCTAGCAAAGGTGGCAAGCGAGACAAAGGCAGGAAAGGCTCAAGACAAAGACAACGGAGCCGAGGACAAGGAACCCACCGGGGAACACCGGAAGAGCTGTTCGCGAAGACGCGGTGTTTCGCGTGCGGAGAGCTTGGGCACTTCAGGCGGGACTGGCCAAATGGACAGCGCGGCGCCCTTGGGCGCAACAGTTGCGTCGTGAGCCAATGCCCGTTCCAAAGATCTGCTACGGAAACCACAGAAGAACTTGGTTTCCGAGCAGCTGCTTCTGAAGGCTTTGGTGCCGACGTCCCAAGTACAGGTCCCTGAGGTTGAGTTGCACTCATCGGCGGGACCTGTCCAAGGCATTATCGGAACAGGCGGCGTCAACTAACTGCCCACGAAGACCTGAAGTCGTAACAGCCAACCGTCCACGAGGCAGGCGTGAGGTCCCATGCTGATAACCTTTGCCCTGCCAAGCATCCATAGAGGATCCGGGTGGGCCTCGCAGACCAGCAGGCTGGACTTCGCCAGCTCCGCTGCCACTGTTGGCAGAGAGGATAAAGTTGGACAGCTCAGATTTCACTTGCAAACCATGGCACGCTGCATGCGTGTTTTCTACCTGCGCGCTTCAGATGTCTCACGGCCTCAAACGCAGCGGCATTCCCCACAACGCATTTGGAAAGTGCCTCGATTGCAATCTAGTGCTCACAGCTTGGTTTTCGCCGCCCTCTGACAGCGGCAATGCAAGGAACAAAACGCAAAATGAAAAACCAGACTGCAACCGACCACAGTTGGCAACCGCGTGGCTCGGAAAATGCATAAGACCGCCATGTGGCCCACAATTACCGCCTTATGTGAGGACACAATGGTTTCAGAGGTGGTTGAAGCTGTGCGTAGCTTCAACATATGGTAGGCTTGCTGGTCCTGACGGGTTGCCACGTGAGTTTTGGACAAACAAGTAAGAGTGACCGTGGTCAGTATGAGATTTATGGACAATGGCTCTATTTCGATACTGGTGTAAGGCAATACGTTTTTTGCTTCGGTTTTAGTTCGTCACTGGAAATCAGCGGGGCGGAATCGAGAATCTGGCATACACAATTTGGATTTCGCTCTCAAAAAGATTTTCGATCGCCTGGAGCCCTCTCCTGTTCTGTTCCGTGCACCGAGAAGTTGCGGCCCGTGCGATATACAGCGACAAACGGCTCAAAATTCATGAATGTGGGGGAGATTCACCCCTACGCACTCCACCGTTCTGGGTTTCTCGATGAGGTCCGTTTTCTCATTTGTTGTTCCCGGACTTTCCTTTCACACACGTCTGTTTCCGGATGCCCCAGGCCCCAGGCCCCAAGAGTGCTAAACTGGTCGTACGCAAGTGCTCCGACCAGGGCTTCAGCTCGGTGCGTAGCGGCTGCCAAGCACGCGCGGAGCTGCCAACGCACAACCGCAGCGACGATTGCGCACAAGCCCGCCGGGGTGGTTCTGGCGGCGTTTGCGTCGAGCTGCGCCTTCAACAGCTGGACCGGGATGCACGCCTGCACCAGCCCGGGCAGCGCCTGCGCTGACGATGCCGGCACGAACAGCCTGCTGCGAGCCATGCCGCAGGGACCACTTGTTCGTCACCGGAGACCGGAACATCAATCTTCGCGTCAGCCAAACGACGTCAATTCCGCAGAGGTTTGGAAAACGTTGAAGGCCCGCGCTGCGTGCCACCCGGCCTGCCACAGTAGCAGTGCTCGAGCTGCGCCAAATGTAACTCAAGCATGCGCTTGTCACTGGTGAGGGTCGCCCGGTGCTGCCAGCCTCACGCATTCCAAACTCGTGTGGCTCGGGGAATCCCAGGCGGGAGCGTCGTAGCCCTGCTCGCAGAGGCAAGCGGCTGCGTGCCCTGCAGCTGCAAGAAGCACCGCAGTCATCTGCAGTCTCAGTCGAGGAGTGCAGCGCGCGGACCCAACGAGCAGCTGCCAGGGCGGCGGCTTTGCCGGGCGAATTCAAGTGAGGGTATGGTTCAGCCGTTAGCGGGCCACTGCAGAGAGTTCCCCGCGCGCTGCGCGATGTTGCGCGGCGTGCGCTGGATCGCAGCGCTGCGCGCTCCGAGAGCGGCTTCCGGAGGAGGTCAGTCCATTGTCCAGCCCGAAACAGTTCCAGGTGCCGGTCGAGCTCAGCTGGCGGAATGCGCGGCTCGCTGGCCGACCGCATGCGAGGCGCGAGCAACCGCGCACTTCGCTATCAGGGCCAGAAGCGTGCACTGCGAGCTGCAGGCCTGCACGGCACGCTTAAAAACGCAAGGCAATGCGCAAGGTACGGGGCCGACTGCAGCATGAGAGCGCTGACAGCACTCGGTTTGCAAGCTGACGGCACCGAGCGATGCGAACCCAAGGCACGCGCTTCATTTAGGCGGCATGCGCGCGCTCCCGCTGCGTGCTTGGATGAGCAGGGCGGCAAGTTGCCTCGGATCCGCGCCCCCGTCCCCGTCCCCGGCGGGCTCGCCCGGCGCCACGCGAACCGGCATGAACCGGTGGTCGCGGCAAGCTGCTGCAGCCACAGATGGTCCTCCTCCGGTTCTCGGTGGGTTGGCTCGGGCACAGGCAACGCTTCGGCGGCAGGACACGCTGTGGCAGTGAGGGTGGTGACGGGGACTGGGCGGGACGCATCGAGTGCTTGGCATGCGTCCTCCCAAGCGATCAGTGCGCCAATGTAGCAACGCATCCGGTCCCATCTCGCCCACAGCGGCGGGCAGCAAGGTCACACGCTGCAGCCCAAGGGTCGGCCGCATTCGGACCACGTGGGGTGGCGGGGCACAGTTGGCTGGGGCTTGGGTTGTGGCCCGGTTCTTTGGGCAGGGGCAGCACTAGCTCTGGGGATGCCGGCTGGCTGGGCGAACCCGTCGGTGCAACTCCAGCTCGCACGTCCGATTGTGCGGTCGAGTCGAGGACCCAAAGCAAGTCGGCCCTGCAGATAGAAGACTTGCTCTGGCCGCCCTGCTTGGCACAAAACAACCGAGCACGCTGACAGATCAGAGACCTGTTTGTGCTTATACATGCTGTTGATGACAGCAAATGCAAGCTTCATGCCCTGGGCCTCGTCTCACGTTGCGAGTATCTGTTCAGGATTGCGTCAGAGTCCTTGACCATGAGTGAGTTGGCCGCTGGGCAGTCAAGTGACGTTAGGCCGCGGGTGGGCTGTGCCAGTGCACGACATAAATGTTGGGCACCACGCAATCTGACTTTATGCAAATCTTGTTGCTCCAGAGCGAGAATCGTTCTCGAAAGCGTAGCACAGATTCATCCGGCGGCTCAGGGCTTATGATGCCCTAAGCATCTGTCTCATCTCAACATGCGGCAAGGGGAAGCACCTGGCATCGCCACAATGGGCCGTGTAGACCTTGCTGCCGTTGTACAACTCGGATCGGCACGAGGTCTACAGGAGATGTGCTGACAAAGCAGGAGAATCTGTGCAGAAGACAGCCGCGATGAGCGAAGCGCCGCTGGCCTGCTTCACAGGCAGCGTGTGATCCGCAGCAAACGGTTGTTTCTGCCAACACTCTCACTGCATCCTCACCTGGCAGTCCCAGCCAAATCTGGCAGAGTGTGCCTCCAAGTCCTGAGCGGCTTTTTGGCGGAAACAGACACCGGACGTCAAATCGTGCCCCTTTTTTGCCAGGCACAACACCTTTTGAGCAGAGTCGAAAGCCGCTGCCTCAGTCAAGTTGGAGGGGATAGTGCATTAAACTCATCGCATTGCAGCAACATCTTTCTTGCTGTCGCTGAAACCTACAACAAGTATGTCTGTGAGACAGTTTGCTGACGATTTTACTCGCAGCCGTTGCATGTATCGTCTTGAGTTGGTATAACTCCTGATAGATAACATGCAGAGTGAATAGGTAATGGAGGTCTTCGGGTCTGTCCCCGACAGGTTGACATACACTTCCCACTTCGCGTGCCTTCAACCTCGTAGGCTCCGTTCTTGCGTTCGTGTTGGTAGCACTTCAGAGAATGAGTCGGTCAACATTGAAGAACAACAGCAGCAGGAACACCACAACACTTGAAAGACTTGAGTTGAGAAGCACGATCTTGGCAGTTGGAGCGCTTATACAAGTACGCAACTTAAAACTATATGTTTTGCCTGAGGTTCTGCGATCAGAACTGAATGAGATGAGACTCAATGCCCGACAACACTTTGGCAAGCACACTGGAAGCCGTAGCAATGGTCAAGCTGGCCATGGTTCGGGAGAGCGGCCATTAACATAGCAGAGAGGAAGAGCGACAAGCTCGAACTGTAACAACGAACAAGCACAACACGAAGGCTCGTGTCAACTTGCCTCATGCATAACAATCGCAGCATTCAGCTAAGTAACATCAGCCATGCGCGATCCTCATCAACGATCTTACAAATAAGAACAAAGTCTGACCAAGCCGAAAGTCTCCAGGATACTACCGTCAGGACGAAAGGCCCAGCATTGATGCATTCGGTTTAGGCAAGGTTGGAACCGAAGACCATGAACGACCTTGAGCAACTGAACAGGAAAATCGTAACAGTAACGAGAGACGGCCACAGGGAAAGAATGGCCGCCTCTGCTCGTGGAAGCTTCGCCGACCTCTTGTTTTCTTACAGACAGCCTTGGCGATGCCATCTAAGCGAAAACCCAATAGGCGGCACAACATCTCGCGGCCCTCGCCAATGCCCTCGCCAATGCTGCGCTTCGGGAGCGAATCTTCAAAGGCAAACCACATCGACACAACCAACCAGCGAACGAAGTGGAAGTCATGCGTACGGTGCACTTCGAAAGGAAGAAGATCGAGCATCGACGATGGGCATGGCTGTCGTGCAGCGTGCTACAGGCTAAGACTAAGAGAACTCAAAGGAAGTCGTAGCCTGCACCGAACTCTCCAGGCAGCGCTGTCACGACAACCCAAAGCCCGAGCATGATGTGGCTGTGCTACCTGCAACTGCTGCATAAACTCGCGATTTGTGGCAGGTTTTGGCCCAAGAACGCGCGGGGCTGCTAAGGGGGACGTCTAATATTGTTCGGACTGGCAGTATCATGCTTTTGAGCAGTTAAAGGAGCAATCTGTTGTCGGTCTACCGGTTTGTCGCCCCAAGTGCTGTACGTGGCCTGTCCATGGAGCCACTTGGCTCTCTGCACCTGAATCAGCATGGAAGTTAGCCTGTGGGCCGAATCCATGTCACTCCCAGACTGTTGGCGAAAAGCACCAAGACTAAGATTGGAGCTCACCCAAACTGGACAAACCAGTCTATCAGAGTGCGCCGGAGATCAGCATGTAAAGTGGGAGTCTTCAAACGTTTAAAAGCCAATGCCAATGATCCTACGAGAGAGTTTTGACAAAGGAGAATCACCGCTGACACGCACGTCACCACGGGTACGAAGAAGCATGGCAACTAAGGCCTGAAGCTCAGCCCTTGTAACTGGTTTCGTGGTTTTGGAAACTCGGACCAGAAACCAAGGCGCTGCTGAAAATGGGCTTTGAAACTGTCCGAGTACTCAGACAACGATGCTTCCGCTAGCCGCCGCTTGAATGCCGACGAACACTTCCACATGAGACGGACGGACGGACTTCTTTGAAGCAGAGCCGCAACACAGAATATGCTAGCAGGCAAGCAAGCAAACAAAAACTGCAATCGCTACGAGTGGCATGAGTGGTCATCAAAATACTCGTGATTATCCAAATTTTAAGAACTAGGACTAGGATGAATTCTGATCTGCATGTGCCTCTCTTCTGTTGTATTGTTTGTTTCTTTGTGTCTTTCTCTGTGCATCTTCATGTCGTTCAGTTTCACCCTCTTGTATCTCATATCGACCTTGTGCAGTCCAGAGCAAGTTTTGTAGTGGCTCTGATTAGATTGACATGACTCATGATATGACTAATATGTCATCCTGAGTCATCCCTATTCCACGATGGCGGAGGCCAGCCAAATCGGAGTAAGCTGTTGGCCAGCGCCGCAGGTACACCACGTTCCTGCTGCAAGCCCAACTCAAGCATCGAATCTATCACTGGATGGTGGTACTCCAACGCTCCTCTAGACCGTCGGCGAACTTATGGGCGATGAAGTGCCTTGATTAAGCTGACGATTAAACTGTGCTACAGCAAAAAGGTCGCGACACTACTTTGCTCACATCTAGTCTGAGGTCGTATATCTTCGAGGTTCTTCGAGTTTAGGGTGCTCAGCCTCTCACGGGACCGTTGTCACCACACGTGTGGCAACAAGCTGCCCATGAAAGCCATGACCATCCTGGATGGTGCGAAGGGTCAAAGGGTTAAGGACCAATGCAAATGGCATCTGTCACTTCGGCCAGAGGCTCTGAACAGCATGCCAAGGTCCAGCCGCCAGCCAGGAAACAAAGCGAGAAATTGTCCTGAACGCCGCACGCTTCAACTTGCTGGCCTACCCCTGCAGGATGTGACCATATGTGACCATAGCTTGGAGGAGTACAGTGGCAAGAAAACCAGCAAGTTGAGCCGGATGAAAGCATCCAGAAGCAAGGTCGATCGCTTCTCTGTCAGCCACTGCTGCATCATAGGTGCGACAATGACGATGTGACGACTGCAAGACACTGGAAAGTTGCCACGGTTTTTTGGGGGTGAAGGCGAGATGGAGTGCAGCCCAGGAAAGGCAGGTTCCTCCCGAGCAGGTGTCGCTCGGTCTTAGGCCGGCGTGTAGCCTTACAGTAAGTGTTCGTACAAATTCCAGAGCAGGACAGTGAAGAAGCATCTCTAGTGACCATCTACTGGAGGTAGATATAATATATCTATATATCTATATATGTATATATGTATACTAGGTCATGCTGTCCAGGCCTGATTTTGCACGACCCCGGTGTTTCCCTTGGCACATAAGATCACCTCAGTTCTGTCGCGAAACGCGAAGTAAGGTCTAGCGATTCATGGCTTAGCCCAAGACAGGGGGTGTCAGGCCGGGACATCTCCGCGTGCCCGCAGGTCCGTGCCATGCTTTCTCGCGTTCGTCACCGGCCTCGATTTTGCCCATGTCTCTGTGCCGCCAAAGATTTCCGACTAACGTCAGGACCATCTGTCCGTCACCAGGCTTTCCATGCACCATGCAAATTGCATGGTGCATCCAGCCTGGGTCCAGGTTTTTAGCTTTGGAAGTTTATGGTTTTTTCTGGTTAGTCTTTTGGATTTTCGGTTCGGTTCTATCCATATACAAAACCTGCAAAAGTGACAGGGATGCCGACCACTGAGGCTGTATGCGAGAACTTTTCGGGTGTATTTTCCATGGCTTTCGGCCTACTGGTGTTCCGCCGCCGATCGGTCACTCAGTCTGTCGATCCGTTCTTGATGGCACGATGTTCTTTAAAGCAAGCTTGCGCGGTCCAAAAAAAGCGGGAGGGTTGGGTTTCAGGACGGACTTTCCAAGGCCTCATACGAGTCATGTCCTTGACTTGAAATCGCAAATGGCCAAAAAGCGTTCTTGACTGTACGACGCTCAGTCACTAAAGCATGTTCACAGGGCTTAAGAAAGCGGGGGGTTGGGCGGGGCGCATATCTTAAACATGCCCCCTCGCTTGGCGATTCCGGTTCAACATATATCCTAAGCACACCCCTCACTTGGCGATTCCGGCCCACCAAATATCTTAAGCATGCCCCCCGCATTTTTTGCAACACTCTGGATCTGAGCCTCCCGGGCATCGATGCAAGGTACAACACGGAATCTTGAAAAGCTTAATTAACACCTGCAGCAGGTGAATATGATGGGATGGTACAGAAGTTGGTGAAGTCGGGTTTAAAGTGGGCTCGGGGCTTCTGATTGGGAAGCAAGGTTTTGGTCGCGAAAAACTTATTCGCTTGACACAGGAAGAACATCTGATGATAGAAAGAATCAAAACAAACGGAACCATAGAAACCAGACTGATTTGGCAACCCAAAAACGCGGAGATTTCTGCAGCGACTGACCGTCGTAATGAGGATATCGTTGGCTTTCAACATCTTCAGAAAATAAGACCGAAATCGCGAGGCCAGTATACCAGCAAACATCTAGGCAGACAGCCAGCCCGGCTGGAATCCGTACCGCGACACAAAGTCGAGTGCCAACTGAACCCAAGTCACCTTACAACCCCGATCAGGCAATCGGAGGAAACTTTGCAAACTACTGGCAGCATTCTGGGACAAAGGGCGTTTGCCCGTGACCACACTTTGTAAGCGTTCGCACTCGAAAGATTGGAAAACAATTTGGCCTGGGGCACGGAATTGGCGGGCAAAGGCAGAGTACAACTGCTGGAGTGTTTGGGTTACGCTCCCAGGTATAGGCAGGGCATTGAGACAAAGGGAGACGAAAAGTTCCTCGACTTCAGCAACTCCTACTTACACTACACCCACGACAGTAACCCGAACAAACTCTGGGAGCTTTGGTTCTGAGTCGAAAGGTCGGTTTGCATAGGCACTGCGTCTTGGACGACAATGTAAGACCCTTAGGAATGCCATCAAGAGGTTCAAACCCATCTAAAAGGGCCAAAAGAGAAGTCTGAGCCCTAGAAACCATATTACGAACAAGATGAGTTTGTATACAGACCGCTCTTTCGATGTCTGCCTTAAACATAGACAGCTGAGTAGAAAAAACGTTCTCGCGCCACTTGCTTAGCGGCAGCGTCTGCTTCGGAATTCCTTTCAGTCCACGACATGTCGGCAATATCTACAATGAAACAGTTTTTCCCTGTGCTTGTTGGTTTGTGCTCCCATTAAACGGCTGTAATCATTGATCAAAACGCAATGGTTTGTATTCTCCTCTTCTAATAATAACAAATTAACATGACATGAAGGATTTTGAATTTGTTAATTAACTACAATGCTAATCGTGCACTTGGGGTCAATGGCATAAACAGTAACTGAAATTGCTCTATCGTTGATTTCTTCAAAGGTGTCAATGTCTTCGTTTGATGCTGGAAATTCTACACCATCCCATTTTGTTAAATTATCCTGTTCTTTTAACTTGTTGTATACATCCAGTCGGGGTGGTCTTTCTACATTATCTCGTAAAATCTAGATTGGACGCAGTATTTGAAACAATAATCGTCACGGTTCTTAATACTAACACACGCTTTTTTAGCAGAAATCCGTTTAGGTAATTCAATATGTTTACCCGCTCGTGTTGGGTTGTATTTGTCCTAATGGATTCCAATAACTTCAAGCTTGTTTATTGTGTAACCTGATCTTCTTATCTGTGAGTTCTCCACCTTAATTTTTATGTCGGATTCCATATTGTCAATGGCTGTGTTCAGTTCTTCGGGGTTGTTTATTTTATATATTCTGCTTCCCTCTAACAGGCTCCAGAGGCATCCCAAGGCGCACGGGGGGTCGGGCCAGGCCTCTAACAGGCTCCAGAGGGGGGTCGGGCCAGGCCTCTAACAGGCTCCAGAGGCATCCCAAGGCGCGCGGGGGGGTCTCTGGATGGTTAACGGAAGCATCAACGTCAATTCTGATTTGAAGGTTAATGTTGTTACCTAAAAACTTCTTGAGTCTTGGTTCTTGATATTTTAAATGTGATAAACCCCTATAAACTTCAAGATTTGTGTTAGATATTGAGTCGGAATTGGCATATCGTTTGAAGGCGGTTGTTTCATCTGAAACATTAGCTTTTGTGCTACTGACATATGCTTCAATGCTTTTCTAATTGCTATGCCCTTCGTTGCCGTCTTTAATATATCATATTTGGTAAAAAAAATCCCGGTGTTTTAGGCATCGCCCTCAATTTATTCTTTCAAACATTTGAGAATGGTTTTCTTTGTTATATGAATACTCAAAATATCTATAACCAGTTTATTAAGTTTCTTACCGCTTCTGGTTTTCATGCTGCATAAAACACTGCTCAGAAAATGATCTTCTGCATAATTGTAATTTTCCCTTTTGTCTGCTAGCCTTTTGTCTGTTCTCCATTAGGTGCTCTGTCTAACACTAAATAGCCTGTTCATCTACTCGCGGGGCTGCTGTTCCCCATTAGGTGCTCTAGCTCACGCTAAATAGCCTGTTCACCTAATCGGGGGGTTGTCCACCTGTTCCCTCCTTTTGCCGCTGTCCCTCACCTAAATGAGGGATTTTTCGCTCATTTCTAAGCCCCCGAAACCTTCATTCGGAACACCTAAAAACCCTTGACTGGGAACACCTCAAACAATAATAAATTAAAAGAACTAATTGGTTAGCATGAGAACAACAAAAAGAATGTTAAGAAGTTACAAGACCTTAAAGTATGGAAAAGTCATAGACGAAGATGCTTTTACAATGATTGAAGATGGGATCAGATTACAACCTACGAAGAACAAACTACAAAAAAAAAACATAACACAGACCAATATAAGAAGTTACTGAATGATATAAGTACATTAACAGAAAGTGAAGAACATGATGAAACGTTAACAGAAGAAAGCAATAAACATGAATTTGATGTGCCTGATAATGCATCTTTTGGTTACATAATGAGATCATTTAAATAACTGCTTAAGACAAAACGCCCTAGTCTATTAAGAGTACTGAGTGGTAGTGAATATGAGAGTTATAGAATATAGTGAATATAGTGAAGATTAAATGTTTTATAATGAACTACAAAAGTTCAATTATTTCAAAACCTGTAAAATGCGATGTCTTGCCTAACTTAAAAATCAGATTGTCGATACTCTTGTTGTGATAAATGTTGCAAGTTAAGGGATTTGTTTGATTGATGAAGTTCATAGAACACTACGAGATCTTGTGGCTAAGGAAGAAATATACGCTTGAGACACAGAGAAACAATGCATGAGAACCTAGATAAATTTGACTTCTGTACATGGCATCAGGAGAAGATGAATTGTCTTATATATATATATATTATATATATAATATAATATATATATATAATGTATATATAATATATATATATATCATATATATATAATATAATATAATATATATATAATAAAAAATATATAATAATAATAAGAATAAGAATAATAAGAATAAGAATAAGAATAATAATAAATATATATATATAATATATAATATATAATATATATAATATATAAAATATATAATAATAATAATAAGAATAAGAATAAGAATAAGAATAAGAATAAGAATAAGAATAAGAATAAGAATAAGAATAAGAATAATAAGACTAATGATAATAATAATAATAAATATAAATATATATATATATATACACCCTATGCATCTCGTCCCTGGGATCGCTCCCGGCTCGGGGAGGGAGAAACTAAGCCGCAAGCTTGCCTCCGGCACTCGACTGTCCGACCTTGGACCAAGGCCGGATCATCCTAAACCTTAACCGGCAGGCCTCTGAATCAATGCCAAAACGCCGAGCCGAAGCCCTGTCCATGCAAGACCGCAGCAACCCCTGCTTCTACCGTAACCCTACATCTCAACCCCCCGAACCCCAAAAGACCTGAACACCTGAGCCCTAACCTTGTCGGTGATCAACTGCGGCTCAGGCCATGTCGGGGGTGGACGTCGACCGATTCAACCTCGCGGGTTCCGGCGGGATCAGAGCTCCAAGTCGACTCAAACAAGATTGTTGTTTGAGACACCTCTTCCGTTCAAAATTAAGCAACGTTGGGGGTTGAGGGTTTGGTGTTTCGGGATTTAGCCTCAGGGTCTAGTGTTTGTTCGGTTAGCTTTGTGACTTGTTGGTTGGGGGTTTGCTGAAGTACTGAAACCTGAAATTATGCCCATCATTCTAGTTTGCCTTGTTCCGAATAGTCACTACTAAAATTACCATTGGCATGAGCCAGATCATCCTAAGAGTGCTGGCATCGCCATCGCTCATGCTACTATCATCATCACCACGTCTCAGTGTTATTCATTTCGGTGGCCTTTCTTGAACTTGCTGACGGATCTCATTTACCGGCAGCGCTCAACGCTTCCTGGGCTCCAACCCCGTAGACAGAAACATGTCTAATGAGCCTTCCACCTCTCACCAGCCCATCAAACAACATCGGCATCAGCATCGCCATAATCATCATCATCATCATCATCATCAGCGTCATCATCACCAGCATCATGGTTAACTACCACCGACACCAATATCATCGTCACGTTTGATTCACTAGATCGTCATGGCCACTACCTTCCGAAGCA